GCTACTTTGCTGTAAAACAGATTGAAAGTATCATTATCCTCTCCAAATGATAGATAAGAACTGAGTTTGCAATTGTATATTGACTTTTACATTGCTCCATGCCTTCAGGTCAACTCCAATTTATGTTGGTGACTATATCCAAGGGTTTCCTCAGCCTAATTTGTTCAGAGAGCATTTGGCATTGGCTTCTTATGAGGCTGTGAGAATGTGACTTATCCATGGTCATCCCGTGAATTTCCATGGTTGAAAAGGATTCAAACCTTAGCCCAGGGGTCCTCAAACTTTTTAAACAGAGGGCCAGGTCACAGTCCCTCCAACTGTTGGGGGGGGGGGGGATTATAATTTGAAAAAAGCATGAATGAATTCCTATGCACATTGCACATTTCTTATTTGCAAAAACACTTAAAAACAATACAATAATTCAAATTAAGAACAATCTTAACAAATATAAACTTATTAGTATTTCAATGGGAAGTGTGGGGCTGCTTTTGGCTGATGAGATAGGATTGTTGTTGTTGTGTGCTTTCAAGTCGTTTCAGACTTAAGTTAACCCTGAGCAATGGCTGATTAAATTACCTTCGAAGGCCGTATCCAGCCCCCGGGCCTTTGTTTGAGGACCCCTGCCTTAGTCAGGTCTCATAGATGCTGTAATCCTGGCACAGGATATTCTTGCAAAGCAAATCTTTACACTTTCATCTGGGTCAATCTGGATTATGGATCATATTCCATGAAGAGATGCCACCTGGATTATGGCCCACCAGATGGCATCCCTTCACTGTAGAGTTAGCAGGAAATAATTATTCCCACCAAGAAATTGATCTTTCCCAGGTTGAATTTTAAATCTGAAGTTGCTATTTTTTATCAAGGTATGTGCACATGTATAATTGCATGTAAGTTTATCCATAAAGTCAGTCCCCGAGTTACTTGGAAACAACTTATATTAAAAAGGATAATATATTATATTTAAGAAGGGGGGCGGGGTGAGACAACAGGTAATGAGAGAAATCTATCCTTCAAAAAGGAAATTCACTCCTAAAAGAGGTATCATGGGGAAAAGGTGTATCCACTGAAGCTTTATCATCAATCCTTGTTTCAACAGCAAGCTAAATTTTGCAAAATCCAATTATCACAGGGACAGAAAGTGAGATAAAATCTTCTGAACAGGAACACCAACAGCAAAACAAACACCACAAGGGTGTTAACCCTTTCCTGTGCTATCCAAAGCTGTGTGTGTGTGTATGGCTGGAGTTACACTTCAAAAATGTACCTGTTCCAACTTACAAACAAATAGAATATCTTGTTCGTAATTTGTGGAGTGCCTTTTTAGTGCACTTCCACTTAACAGGAAATGTGTGCATTTGCATGCAAGATGAGTTCGTCAGGGAATTTTTTTTTCCTGTCAGTATATTTAAGCCCCTAGCCTTAACTGTTCTTAAATGTAAACTACTTCACCACACCAGTTCACGTATTTACTTACCTTGCACAAGTTTAGCTGAATTTAGCCAAATTTATTTTTGAGTAGACATGTCTAGGACTGCCTTGGAAGAGAAACAGAGCAGCAGTTTGCCTCAAGCCACTGAGAAGATTTCAGGGGATGTAATTTAATTTATTTAAAGCCTCTTCACAATAGATTTGCATCACTCCAAGGTATATTCCACATTTGAGTTATAACTCTTATCATACATTATCCTTATTAAAGATATTTTTGGGGAAAGTCTTAATAAAGTGCATTTTATTACAGGGATGGGTATATATTAAAAACATTTATGCCAGAGGCATGGTAAGATGACTTAAAAGGGCTGATTAGCACAAAAATACTGCTTTTTATGGAACATAAAATATTATTGCAGTAATCACTATGAAAGACATTTCAGTTCAATTATGCACATTCATGGGAATTGTTACTCAGGGAACATCTCTCTCATTTTTTTTGCTTGTGATATAGTAAGAAGAATCAAGAGTTGAACAATTATATGGAAGATTCATAGCTCACTGGTAAATAAGGTGAGCATGGGCAACTCTTGGAATGAGCAGGAAAGGATCCCACCACCAATAATTTTGGACAAATTCATGCCCTCTTCCAGCTCAGTGCTGAACTGTACATTACAGTACATGGAAAGAGTACAGGCTACTTGTGCCTACATCCATGAAGCAGAAGTAATTTCAACCCTTGTTGTTTGATGTGCATACTACACCTGCTTCACACTACAGTATTACATGCCTTCCAGCTGTCCCAGTATAACAGGGTCTGCCCCACTTAATTCTATGTCATCCCACATTCCCAGCTGCTATAAAAATATCCCTGTTTCTTTTTCCTATTCCAGTCTTCATTGTTCTTCCAACATGAGAGGCTGTAGGTTTCAGAGAAATGCCTCAAATCTCTATTTACCCCACTTTTCATGGTTAGCCTAGTTAACCTCTGGTGTAAATGCTACCCATGGAATTTCCCACACACCATGGAGAAGTGGGGCACACATGTTATGCGTAGCCTGTAGTAGCTGAAGTATATTATTTTGCTTCATGACAAGAAAAAGGCATAAACCCTAGGAATATTCAGAAAAAAACAGATAGACGAATAGGCTTTGCAGGTTTGAAACTATAAAAATGACCTGTACAGCAGTCCCCTTTTTTGACACCCACATTAAGGGATTTCTTTTCTTTCCATCTCAATTTATATGTATTACATCTCCAACTGTATGTGTTGCCACTGATCTCTAAAGATCTACATGCTCTTTTGATCTTTCTTTACAGGTTGGGACAGGGTATCATTTCTTGCTTCTGAGAAAATGCAAGGATTCCCTTTCTTGGATGATCTTGGAACCAAGTAGTATTTGGATGAGTGAGTTGCTAGACCGGGGTATTTTTTAAAAGAGAAATGTGCTTGGGCAGTTAAACTGGGATTGTGTAGTTAGACTGGCCCACCTTATACTTGTGGATAAATATTTACCTTACAGGTTCATACACATAATATTGACATGTCTGGCTATAAATAGCAACCAGGCATTCAGAAAACAAAGAAGTTAAGTCACTGGAAGTATAAGAAGATGGGACTGTATATGTGGAATGGAATCATTTTAAGAAGTGCTTTCCTACTCTATATGATTCTGTGTGTGAAAGGGAGATCCCATGAGACATGATACACACTTTTACTCCCAGCACCCTCAAATTTAGTTACTAATTCTCTATATGGGGCAAGGCATGGCTTAAAATTTGGTGGCAGAGCACATGCTTCATGAATGGGAGATCCTGTCATCAGTCCTTGGCATGTCCAGTTAAAAGTTTAAGCAGCAGGTAGTTGAGTTTCTTCCCAAGACCTCAAAAAATGTATTGTTCTGTGGCTACAAGTTGTTTCAATTTATGATGACCCTGAAATGAGATTACCATGGGGTTTTCTGGGACGGAGAGTGTGTAGGTCTCCCAGTGGGTTTCCATGACTGAGTGGGAAATCAAACATGTGTCCAGAGTCGTAATCAAATCCTCAAACCACTATGCTCTGTGACTGTGGGGTAAAGTGCTCCACACACCTGAGGAACTCAGACTAGTTTAAGCATATCAAAGAATCTGTGGGAAACAGAGGGAGAAACGGAAAGAGCGGTAGGAAAGGCTGACAGACTGCCATACTCTAATGTCTGCAACCTGAGGTGATTGCCTCATTGTAAATAGGGAAAATCAATCCTGAAACTAGCAAACACACACCAGATTTATGCTTTCCAGAAGAGGGAGAAACAAGAAGACAACAAATTTAAAAAGACAGTTGCTCTTTATTTGTCATGCAGCCTTAGCCATGAGAATCAAGCAATAGAATTCAGTGTTACAGTTCACAAAATAGCAACAGCAAAAGCAATCACCTTTTCCAATGGTGCTTACACTTCAAAGAAAGGAATCAAAGATGTTGTGTAGTAAAAAAAAAACTGGGGCTGGAGCGTGTTGAAACACAGGGTGGGAACAGATCTTATCACAAGTGTCTCCAAATTGTTTTCTTTTGGCAAGAGCTGGTACTTTCATGGTTCATTAGCACTGTAACTGTCTCTTGTTTGAAATTACAAAGAACATGTTCAAACAGGTGAAAAGATCTTCAGAAAGCATGTTCTGAGTGAAACAAATCCCTGCAGTCTGCTTGCCAACCCAAATCCTCCATCACATTTACCATAGTTGTCTGTCCAAGTGTACTGCTAAAAGCAGAAGATATTACTAAGTGCATTCTGAAGTCCCATTGGCAGGCAAAGGAACCAAATATACATTTAAAGTTGATAATGTGCTAAATTGATTATGGATTTCTTGTTGTTGCCCAGAACTAGAGGGACAGACAAGTTATACCCTCTCTTGAGTGAAACCAGGTTATTGATAAGTTGAACCAATCATGTAGCCTTTAGCTGGTTCTCAGAAACAGAGTACACTAGTAGAAACAGATTACACATTCTAGTGGACAATTTGTGCTTCATTAGAGAGATCTAGAATCGTATGAGTGGCACATAAGTTTGTTGAAATAGGTAAATCCCATGATTTCATTACAGAATGTCTGGTGTGACTCTGGAGCTGATCTACATGATGCACTGGCATTGCATTCTAACAAAATATTTGTGTGAATTTATATCATATCATGTATCAGAACCTATTTCATATACTCACGACCCACTCCATTCCCAGTGCTGTACAAAGCAAATCTCTTTTGCTTAAATGAGACTTTTCCTCTAAGAGGTCTACATATGGTTCACTTGATAATGTGGCTTCACCCCTCTGCATATCAAGCTAAGATCCACTTGCTACAGCTGATTCATTTACAGAAACCCCTTTTTCTGCAGGTAGAAGGATGAACACTAGACTGGGACAGCAATGCTGGAGCTCGTTACAAATATGTGGATCCAGGTTGAAGCCAAACGCATGTGGAAAAGGTGAAAAGTATCAGAGGGGAAAGCTTTGCTGAGTTATTTACACCATGGGTTGAAGAACTTCTACTGGGAAATTGCCATACCAACAGACACTCAGGACAGGACAAGGTTTAATAGGCCATTTTCTTAGTTGAAGTGGTCTTAGATACAATTTTCACACTAGAGCTTCCTCCTCCTCCACCACCACTTGAGACGCGCCCTCCTCCAGAACTGTAACCACTACCACCTCCCAGACTGACCCCAGAGCTAAACCCACTCCCACCACCAAAGCCACTGCCACCACCAATGGAGTAGCTGCTGCCACCGCCTCCGAGTCCAAATCCTCCTCCGGATCCTCCTCCAGAGCCTCCTCCAAATCCGGATCCTCCTCCACCTAAGGCTAAACCGTGTCCGCCGCCGCCGCCTCCCAGAGCAAAACCACTTCCTCCATAGCCAGTGCTACTGCTACTGCTGACCACAGCTGTGGAAAAAGTCATTTTAAACATTAGTGAAGTTCTATTTGTCACTTCAAAATAGCAATCCCGTTCAGAACCTCTTTTTAAAAAATCCCAAACATGTATAAATAGAGCCATTACTTACTATAGCCCACATTTCCAACACCTTCTGCCAGCCTAGGAGTAAGAAAGAAGAAGAAATTAATATAATAGGTATACATCTTATTCTTCATTCCAGCTAAGGAGTATGCCTGTCTCTCTCTGTGTGTGTTAAGATAATGATGGAAGCAGGTTTGGGAATGGTGAGCCAGAGGACACAGAGTGAGAATTGGACTAAATAAAGTGAATTAAAACAACCATCAGGAATGGGTTGATTTTCTGGGTATTTAAAATGAGATAGTGAATTTGCTGTTTACAGAAATTCTGTGCTGCCTACCTCCCACTATGCTTAGCTTTACTACATTAGTAAATCTGGATATTGCAATCTTAATGAGATCCAGTGTGGTATAGTAGTTCAAACATTGGACTATGACTCTAGAGCAGTGGTTCTCAACCTGTGGGTCCCCAGATGTTTTGGCCTCCAATTCCCAGAAATCCTAACAGCTGGTAAACTGGCTGGGATTTCTGGGAGTTGTAGGTCAAAACACCTTTGGACCCAAAGGTTGAGAACCACTGCTCTAGGAGACAGTATCAAATACCTGCTGATCCATGAAAGTCCATTGGATGACCTCAATCAAATGACACGTTTTTAGCCTCCAAGATAGGCAAGGGCAAACCCCCTCTGTAAAATCTTGTCAAGAAAATCCCATGATACTTTTGCCTTAGCATCACCCTAACACATGGGAAGAACAATAATTATTAAATAAAATAAAATATCTAAGTCTGCAATTATGTTTCCCTTCAACCTGGGTGAGCACAGCCTTTTGAACTTACTGCTTGGGGAAGTAAAGAGGGATATCATTTATATAGTATATAATTAAACAAATTACAACAAAGAATTATTAGGGGGAATAATGAGGAGAGAGAAAAAGCAGAAGGAAAAAGATGCTGAAGCTTGTGGCAAAGTTAAATGCATTCATGGATTATGCATTTTAAAAAATCCTTTTTTTCTTCCAATTTAATGCCATCACTTTCCAGCATCTCTGAAAAAAATCTGTGCATTTGAGTGTAATACTTTAGAAATATGGTATTTCTGTGAATGCTTGTCAGCAGGCCCTTCCACACAGCCATATAACCCAGAATATCAAGGCAGATAATCCACAATATCTGCTTTGAATTGGGTTATCTGAGTCCACAGTGCCATATAATCCAATTCTATGTGGATTTTATGCAGCTGTGTGGAACGGGCCAGCAATTCTGCCCTAGAGTACACTGCCGAGGATAAGATTTTTCCATTTAATGCAACAAAACATGAGTTTCTTTAAACAGAACATCATAGAAACATGATGTTGTTCTGGTTTGCCAGGAACTTTATTGCTATTCCAGACACATTTGTCAATTTCCCTTTCAGGATGAAAGCTTCCTGGCCCAGACAATCAAAGGGTAAAATCCTCAACTGACTTTTTTTAGGAAGAAAAAAAAAGGCAGAAAATGCTTTGGGAAACATGGAAATGTTATAAACTGAAGGTGATGATGTTTGAACCATACACCCCCTGGTAAAATGTTAAATTATAAGGAAGGGTAATTGTACCAAGACCAACAAAAAGAACAATCTGAAAGTAGCATTGAACAATTATTTGTTCCTGAATTTTGCCTGCAGAGAAGTGAATTTACAAAGACCTGATGTTATGAAAAAAAAATGAAGATACATTCTGCTTTTCTTGTATGGCAAGGCATGAAAGATGTTACCAGGGTTTAGATAAAACCTATAAAAGAACTGAATCATTACTTCATCAGTGACTAAGGCCATTTTGCGAGAGCTTCCTTCCACTGCTGCCTACCTGATTTCCTCTCCTTCCAGCAGCTTCCTGTAGGTGGCAATTTCAATATCCAGGGCCAATTTGACGTTCATCAGCTCCTGGTATTCCTTGAGTTGCCGAGCGAGGTCCTGCTTTGTTCTCTGCAGGGCTTCCTCCAGTTCGCTCAGTTTGTGCTTGGCATCCTTGAGGGCCATCTCCCCACGATCCTCAGCCTCAGCAATGGCTGCCTGAAGATTGGCACACTGCAAAGGAGGGAAAAGGTCAATTCTTCTTGTTGAGGTGATTTCAATACACTCTAGATCTGGGCTTCAGAAAGGGCTCTGTGACTGAAAAAGTTTGGGAACCCCTGCTCTAGATATTACAACCAAAGATCAGTTGTTATGAAAGTTTTTGTTCAAAACATCAGAAGGGTGCCATATTACACAAAAGGTGGGGAAACCTTTCTCATCCATAAACCAGGAAAAAATGAAACATTTCAAGAGCTAACTAAAAAAGGTTTTAACCATTTATCGGTATTGTCCAAGCAAATATTTTCCTGGCCTAGAAAACACTGATGCTTTTTTGCTCCATTGTTCCCTTTAGTGCACCAGTGAAAGCAATAAGTGAGTCTTATACAGTTCCCAAATTATGTTCTTCTTCAGCTCTGGGGATTAGTTTCAAAGTGATTTGTCAGGAAAACTCCCTCATGAGATTTCTTACCATGGGATCTTGTGGATGCTTCAGAAAAAAAATGCTCCTTCCAAATCACTAATCATTTAAAAGGTCACAAAGTTTCAATGCAAGCTTTGACCCCAAATCTCCATATGCAATCAAGATATTTTAAACAACTGGTGCCATTTGCAAAGTCACTGATGCTGGATATGCATTTGTATCTGCATTCAGACAGGTAACATATGTATATACATGCAAAGGTTGCAACATTTTGTACCTTCACATGGGACTGGATGAGTCCATTGCCCCATTTATGTGGGTTGCTCAGTTTTCCTATTTATGGCAGTATAAAGAATAGGGCAGAGGTAAAACTGCACCAAACTGATTGAGTGAAGTAGGATTTTGAGCTTTTAATAAATGTATCTATTTAATTCATGCCAGGACAAGACCCCCCCCCCCCCATTGTGTACAAAATGCAGTATAATTGCCAGACACATTGATTCTAACTAGATACACAGACATCTACACATTTATGGGTATGTAACAAATAATTCCAAATAAAAAGCCGTGTTTGCACCCACATCCTCTATTTGTTTATAAATATTGGGGGTGGTGGTCCTATTTTGAAATGATTTTGAGAACCTAGACCACTGTGGCTGGTCTTCTCATATGAATTTTGGGGGAGATTGGGGGTAAAACACTTTTATATTTCATCAGACTGTCTGGGTGTCTAGGGAAAGGTGAAGAAAGAGATTTCTGATCTTATTTGCTGTGTTTCAGTGATACTACAAAGATAACAATTGTGGTTTATTCAACTCATTTACATTTGATGCCCCACAGCATTTTTTTTTTTTTTGCAATGAGAACTGTATTATCTGTGACATTATTAGCAGGGTGGTGGAGATGTTAACACTTGCTTCCATTTTGCATATATAAAAAGAAATAGAAGCAAACTTAATGGAACTAAATATTCTACAACACAATGATTGTCCAATCCTACCCTGTTTCTGTATTGTTTCTAATAATATTAAGCACAATTATTATTTCAATGTTCAAAGACCAGATTCAAGGAACCTAAAAATGGCCATTCTGTACCTTTTTCCTATCAAGGAGAAAAGGAGAAAGAAAGGGTGATATTGTTTACAATGCCTGAAAGAAGATAAGAGAAGAATGCCCTTGAATGATAGAAGAAATGACTAATTTTGGTTATGTGAAGTAGGGGAGGATATCACTTATTAGCTTTAATGGAAAATGGTTGAAATATTTTATGTACAAGGCACTGCAGTGGATCTAACATCACGGTCCTCTGTTTCAAGATCTTTATTGAAAGAATAGATACAGTCAACAGAATCAAGTGCTAATTCTCACTCCCAACTGAACCACATGTATGAAGTGATGGGAGAAGTGGGTTTAGTGATATATTTAATTGTTTCTTCCTGATAGACACATTTCCTACATAAATAAACCAAGCACACCAGGGAAAGGGGATTCAACATAGCATTACTCCTGATGTGATTTTCCATTATTTTAATTTTGTTGAAAGATCCATTGACTCGCCCATCACAAAGAGTCAACACTGGTATACTTGTTAGCTAGACAATTGCAAGGCACATCCAAACCTCACCTGTTTCTTCAAGGAATCTATTTCACTACGCAACCTCTGGATCACCCGGTTGAGCTCAGCAATTTCTGTCTTTGTGTTGCGCAGGTCATCACCATGACGCCCAGCGGAGACCTGCAGCTCTTCATACTGATATTCAAAAGACAGGGAAGAAGAAAGATATATAATTCCAATCATTATAGGGTGGGTGTGTATTATAGAACAGGTATTATGTATGTATCATGTAAGGTTGTAGTTTCTGTAGGGGAGTAACAATCCCATGTGATACTGACCAAACAGGTAGTTTTACCTTGTAACTCTGACAATAGCAACAGCAACTATCTTCCTTTCTGATACTAGCTTTGGGGGCATATGCCACACCCAGATCTCAATATCCCTTGGCCATTTGAGGCAATTACACTATTCTGCCAAATGGTATGGCCAGCTCTGCAAAGACTTATCTCACTCCATTCTTCAGACCTGTATGTTAACATTTTGATATGGCCACACACCACTCCATATGTATGTCAATGGGTCTCCCCCTTTTTCTTTCTCAGGATGAGATCCTGAAAGCACTAGAATCAAAAAGTTTGCATGATCCAGTCCAACAATATTTGATAGGTGAGGCTTTGGACTAATTTCCTTCCTTATCACCCAAAGTAGCACCTTTAGACAACCTTCCAGGTACTCCTAAGCACAATGGGAAATCCATCACTGGATGGTGGAAGTAGTTGTTGTTCACCACTATTTGGAGGGCAGAAGTTTCTCCATTTTTGCTTCTAGGCCTTTCACCGAGTCACTGTTACTCACCTTGGTTTGATACCATGATTCAGCCTCGGTTCGGCTCTTCTGGGCAATGTCTTCATATTGTGCCTTGACTTCTGCAATGATGCTGTTCAAGTCCAGGCATCTATTGTTGTCCATAGACAACACAACAGAGGTGTCAGATACATGCTGCTGCATCTGTGATAGTTCCTACACAGAAAAAGAAACATGTGTCATTAAAAATGCATGAAATAACAGAAATATTACAGTTTTGGAGATGCAGTAGATGGTATGTAGGAAAAGAAAATCTTCAGTAAATAGATTTAATATTGGTCTATGGGAGAAAGGGTACTGTTGTGCTTCAAAAGCAACCTCCATCGCAACTCATTATGTTCATTTTTATACAAGGAGTTTTCCTGATCCATAACAAGGAGATTCACAGGAGGAAGCAGTTTTTCACATGGTTCACATGGAGACAACAACACATTTCCCCACAATTTGATGCCACTCAAAGGCTACTGAACTGGCTGTCTTTTGGTATGCAGCCTTCTCCATACCTTTGATTATTATTATTGCAATTTAATTAGAAACACATCTGGATCCAGACATTTTCATTTACTTTTACATTTGAAGGTCAACCTAACAGGTACCAGTTTAATTAACAATAAAATAAAATACATGAACAAACCATAGCCTTTAAGATGCAGTCTATGCACTTCATTCTTGCCAAAACTCAAATTGAAGTCTGGAAGTTTTGGAGGGAGCGGAGAACGGGAAGAAGCAAGAGAGTCATCTCCTCTTCCTTTGAGTTTCTATAATTTTGCGCTTCAACATTTCAGATGTTGCCATCATTGAAATAAGTTCAATGACTGTTTGAATTCTCTGGCCTTAACCATTGCTTAAAGTGTGATTTGAAAGAAACAGACACAGGGTTCATACCCTTGTTGGGTCTTATAAAAAGATAAAGCAGGGGAGAAAGCATTGTTGGTTTTATGCAACCATGTGATTGTTGTTCAATATTTTTGCTATGACTATTGTCAATTTCATTTATATATCATCTTTCCCCAAGAATAGCTCTCTTTTCTCCCACTTCACAACAACCCTGGTCACCCAGTGAGTTGTTAGTAGCTTTGTGGACACTAGAACCTTGCTCTTTCATCTCCTAGTCCAGAATCTTAGTTGCTACATGAAACTGACTCGAGTTGCTGATGCTCTGACTACTCTCAAACAGAATTGAATGCATGCAATCACTTTAATGTGTTTCCTAATTCAAGTGATTAATATAACTGGGAGAGGCTGCCAAAGAAAAAGGTGGATTTTCCATTTCTTTTTAGCATCAAGTCTAGACAGGTTCCCAAAGGAGAAGCATTATTCAACAATTTATCTGTCTTGATCCAGTAATAATAGCTGGAGGAAACTTCACATGGGTTGCACAAGATGTGATAATTGATGCCACTAAGTCTGTTCTTGCTTTAACATCTATTCATCATTACAGATATATTAGCAGAGGTAGGTAGATACAAAAAAAAATCCCAAATACCCCCACACATATACCTGTGATGTGAAATTTTCCACGCTGGAACATGTTTCAACACAATAATATCATTGAAAGCCTTGGGGGCTTCCCAGCCTTTTCCTCTTTCCCTTTGACATTGTCAGAAAACATTTTTTCCCATTTTAAACTGCATTTTTTATATTGTGAAAGGTGCAATACTGGTAACTTGCAGTGATTTTAGTTGTCATTCAAGTTTGGAAGGCGTCAGGGAGACACAGCTATATAGTTTCAAGATGAAGTCTGCAAATCTGAACATGTATGAACTTCGAGAAGGTTTGGTTGAAATCAGTGGAGAAAAGGCTGTCAAATCTTATCAACGTAATCTTAAATTATAAATGCATTAACAGTAGTTGAACTGGATTTAAAAATTATAGTTCTGGATTTTCAAGGCGAACGGGTAAGTAAAGGTAAAGGTTTTCCCTTGAAAAGTCTAGTTGTGCCTGACTTTGGGGGTTGGTGCTCATCTTCATTTCTAAGCTGAAGAGCCAGTGTTGTCCATAGACACCCCCAAGGTCATGTGGCCAGCATGACTGCATGGTTGGCAGAAGCTGGGGCTAACAGCAGGAGCTCACCACGCTCCCCAGATTTGAACCTGAGACCTTCAGTCAACAAGTTCATCAGCTCAGTGGTTTAATCCACTGTGCCACCAAGTGAATACCTTTGGAATTTCCCCTTCCAATATAGTACTAGCTTTTTTGTTTGTTTGATACAATTTATTTGGAGGAAGTCTGCCTTTGCTATAAGTATGAGATTAAGAGAGTATGACTTGTACAAAATCAGTTAGTGAATTTCCATTGCTGAATGAGCCCTGTCCTCCTGAAGTTTCATCCCATCACTTAAACTACTATACCATGCTGGCCTGCTGAACAGCAAATACAAATATCATGGGAAGGCAACTGGCCATGAGTTTAGGATTCCATGTTATGGGTCCAGCTGCTGCTACACTAAGGAGGACTAGGGCACCCATGTTCTCTATTGAAGCCATTGTACTAAGAGCAAAATACCATTGAGCTAGGTGCTCCAGTGATCTGACTTGGGGCTTCTCTATACTAGCCCTTTGTTCTGAAGTGGACAAGAATTCAATTGTGAATATATAGTTGATGTCCAGGGATTTCCATACCTCAACGTGAGGAAAACTGGGCTGAGTCAGTTTATCCCATATTTAGCAAAGTCAGGGAACACTCCAGAGTTTTGCTAAAACTTCCAGACCATCTCTGCATGTTCAACAGAGTGTGGAGAGCAAATTGGCTTCAAAATGAACCAGAATACTGTCCACATGGACCAGAACAGCCATCCCCTGATCCATTCTCTGGCAGTGCAGGGAAAAGGCAGCGATTCTGGGACATGTGGTTGGCATTGTTGTGGCAGCCCTGGTTATGTGGGCATCTTTGCTAATGTTACCAATGGTGCCCAGCAGTGGCCGGGAGCTTTCCGAGTTCCTTGGCCAGTTTCTGTGGTGGTGGACGCAGCATGACAATAAAGAATGACAATTCAGCAAGGTCAAATAAAATGTAACATTTCCAAGGGAAGGTACATACCGCATCATACAGTGCTTTCAGGAACTCGCATTCATCATTCAGGGACTCCTGTTTGCTAGCCAGTTCAATCTTGTTCATATAGGCACCATCAACATCCTGCAAAAAACATGGGGAAAGTAAGCTTGATTTGTGTGAGTCTGTGTTGTTTCTCAGTGGGAGAAATCTATGGCATTTATCATTGTATTTTGAAATATATTAGCCAGTTGTATTTTAAAATAATGTGGAAAATTCAACATGTTTTAAACAATTTCACAGAGAACCTAATATTGTAGGGACTGGCTGTTGTCCTTTATTTCAGATTAGGATTGATTGGACCCAATCAGCAGTGATTGATTCCTAGCAGAACTTACTCAGGGGATGTTAAAAATATTCAGCTTCAGTTAACATAAACATATGAAAAATTTTCGGTAATGTAATATGTTAGAGATCCTAAAGGGTACTGGTCTGTTAGAAAGTATTGTTCTGAACTAAGAGAAGACCGCTACTTTTACTTGGTACACAGCTTATTGTATTCATATTATTTCTTTTGTTATTTTAAAGATAAGTTACCTTCTTAAGCACCACAAATTCATTTTCTGAACCTGTACGCTTGTTGATTTCATCTTCATATCTGTAAGGGCAACAGAAAAAAAAGATGGCATTAGTTATTTTTAATATGAAATCTTAATGTAGGAAGCCAAGCCAAGACTTATATAAAGGACATTTAGACCATAGTGATTGACTGTTGAATTATTTTTTTGAAGATCAACCTGCCTTGATTTTTTTAGGTTATAAACCTTTCTAAAAGCACCATATGTGCAGCGCATTGATTTAAATGGATTTCCGGTGTGTGCAGAAAATGTATAGGAATAAAGTTTTCACAGGCTGATAGAATCAATGTGTGGTACTGTTTTTAAATTTCCTCTGTGTTAAACTTTCTCTTGCACATCTGCAGTGATATCATGGGAAATAGGTCTGCCTGCAATTTAGCACAAAACTATTTCTCAACTGGATGTCAAACTTTTTCTTCAGCTATGGGTTGCAGAGTGATCGGTCCTCCTGTCCTATGGAGTATGAAGGTTAAAATGATAACGGTGCTTATATATGAAGCTATATATAAAGACAGATCATCCTTTAATGTTATACATTTGGAAGGCAGGTCTAAAGTACAAATTTTAACAGGACTAATAACCATTTATGATGGATTTGTGTGAACTTTATCTACTGAGATGAGCAGAGCAGGAGAAATGATAATAATCAATTATTTCACTAAACTAACACGGGTACCAATATGATTAAGACTAGAATACAACTTGCTTGATGACTTTGTTGTTTGACTATATGCCTGCATGTGGACTGGCTTGATAAATTTGGTGATTTCAAGGGATATATTTCCCGAGGAGTCACATGTCTGGTTTTGGAGCAATACTGAAAAGTGTCTTACAATGTTTCAGGCATACATCAATAATTTTTAAAGTATTTAAAGGAATTCTGACCTTATAGCTAAGATTGGGTTAAATGAATAAAACAACACATATCTACTAGATGTATAAGCATCAAACACACATATCTGTGAGGCAGGATTAGCTGCTTTTCTCCATTCAGATATATGTAGAATGTTTGTTGTATGAAAATGCATGTGTGCAAATATCTATGTGCATCATCTGTAGCATTATCTGATATAATCCATGTTCCTTTGCCTTGGTTTCACAAGAGACCTATGTTACCATAAAGGCATCCTTTTTACGAAATATCATGACTTAGGGCCAAATTGGCTATCTAGTAGGCAAGGTGTGGCTAACATCAATTGGAGAAAGACTTAAAAGATTTGGGCATGGCAAGAAGACATGGTGGTGCCAGGATTTATGATGATTCATTTTGCCCTCTGGCAAATGAAATTTAAAACAGGAATATGTCTGGCATGGATAGAAAAGATAGTATCAAAAAAGATATCTCATCCATGTAACCACTGCCAAGTTTTTGATCAGCAAAACCTTTGTGGGGGGGGGAGGATGTGTGTTTGGTTAATCAAAATGAGGGAGGGGGGAGGACTGCAGATAAGATTTATGAGCCAGTGAAATAGCCAATCATCTTGAACAAATATATTAGTGGTGTGTGGACTCTTAAGTTATGCCTTTGTAGTATTGTCTTGATCCAATCAAGTAGAGCAACATTTACATTTCAAATAGTCCAGAAAAAAGAAGAAATATAGTTTGTTGTCATACCTCTCCCAGTTATGCCAGATGGAATGCTGCTTAATTTTCTCTGAGAAATAACTTGTATACATTTTGCCCATAGGTTACTTCAAAGTGAGCAAAAGGTATCAACCTTCAGGTTCTTACCAATCTAAGGATGCAATCTCATTTTAACTTATTTGAGGATAAACCCCCTTGAACAAAATGGAGTCATCTGTAGAATAAAATCTCACATAAATGGGCTACACATCATCCAGCAAAAACTGTTGACCTTACTGCTTTCTGCCAATTTGTTATACAAAATACCTCTGTTCACCTGGCTATGGAATTGAAATATTCTTACTTGTTCTTATAGTCTTCAACCATATCTTGCATATTCCTCAATTCTGAATCCAGCCTTCCCCGTTCATTTGTCAGAGAATCGAGCTGCCTCTTCAGGTTTGTGATGTACATATCAAAAAGGGGATCAATGTTGCATTGTCGGGTAGTTGTCCCTTGCTGTTGCAAAAGATCCCATTTGGTTTCAAGGACTTTGTTTTGCTGTTCCAAGAACCGGACCTGCAAGGTAAAGTAGGCAAGCATGTTACAAACAACCCACAAGTCCACTGGAAAGAAAAAAGATGAATTGTCCATGAAGCAGAAATAGAGGTGGTCCTCATTTGTTTTGAAAAGTCTTTAGTGTACCCCAGTGAGCCTTCCTTTCTTATCTCCAACTGAAACAGCCTAAATGCTCTGGAACTTACCTTTTCTTGGCCTTTCCTACCATCTTTTATGTTTCTTCCCTATAGACTAAGCTCTTTAAAGCAGAGAGTTATCTTGGTAATGTATTCAAAATGCTGCCAGTTATGATCTTAAAAAGGACTGAGGGGTTTTTGACTTTCAAGATGATATTGGACTTCCAAGTTGCTGCTATTCCTGCCTCTTATTTATGGGTCTTAATTCAAGAACACATGGAGGGCACATGTCTGCTATCCCTAGATATAAGAAAGGAAGCAAGTGAATTGAAGAAAAGATGACAAGGATGGAGATAAGAAATCAGGGGCAGAAATATTCAAGACAACTATAAAAACTGGCAAGAAATTACTGCATCTGCCCAGGGAACACATGCTGAGCATGCACACACTGATATCATTTAATGGAGAGTTGAATAGACTAGAATTCTTTAGCAAGGGGTGGCTGTTTCAAGAAATATGTGGACACATTTATTGGCACATCTTTTTTAAAAAAGGTTGGTGGGGTTCTATGTTAGCCATTATATTTTTGTTCAGCTAATTCTTCAAAATGCTGTCATGATGACATCACACTGGTACCTTGTGGAATACAAAGTGTGTTGTGTTGCAATGCAAAATGATTGTGAATTCATTCAAAGGATGAAAGAAACCATATTTGTTTCATAGACTCATTTACAAAAATAAATGTCAGCCTGTAGTATGGATGGACTGCAAAATTTAGTTTTCATGTATTTTCCTCATGCATTTAATTTAATTGCACAAATAGGATGTAGACACCATTATCAGTGTTGAGTGTATTAAAGCAAATCCCTTGTGCCATCTGTTTCTGAAAACCATATTTTGGACCATACTTGATCTCAGGATTTTCCCCTTTCCCTCTATCTTTATGGATTTCAAGCAAATGAGTAAAGTCTAAGTACACAGTCATAACAGGTTTTATTACTGTTAAGGCTAATGAAGCAATCAAGCTATAATAGGCTTCTCTTTATCTATTTGGCCATATCTCATTTTCAAAACAGAAGTGCTTCTAATGGATCTGGAAGTGCATTTTGTCACTCAGCTGACCTTTTTACACACATTTTTCTAGGACATTACATAGCTATCCCTACTATAAATAGTGACATTGACAATTCAGATATACTCAGTGACTTTGGAGAGTTAGAGGCGTAGTTGTCCATCCTTATGTATGTGACTGATTTAAGGTGTGAAGTCATAGATGAGCAATCACCTTTCCCTATGCTTTAATTATCTCAATAAATGACAATGCTGGCAGCAAGAACAGGTGTAAGCTATTCATTCACAATAGACTTGGTGCCCCAGAAGTACATATTAACAGAATTCGTGAAGATATTAATCAAAAGTATTGACTTACCTTGTCAATAAAGGAGGCAAATTTGTTGTTGAGAGTCTTGATCTGTTCCCTTTCGTTTGTGCGCACTCTTTGGATTTCTGGGTCAATTTCAAGTTTCAGGGGTTGTAGGAGGTGCTGATTGATGGTCACCTCCTGTATCCCACCGGGTGGGCAAACTGGAAATCCAGGTCCACCTCTTCCACCAAAACCTGGACCACCTACCACAAAGCCAGCACCAGGTCCTCCATACCCAGGCCCACCAAAACCCAAGCCTCCACCACCACCGCCACCACCAAGGCCAACACCAAACCCAAAACCTCCTGCTCCACCACCAGCACCATATCCTCCACCACCAGCACCAAATCCTCCACCACCACCAAAGCCAGATCGGTAGCCTCCACCAATGCTACTATAGGAGACCCGCTTGTTTCCACCCAAGTTGTAGAGACTTCGGCTACCAAATCCACCGCCGAGCCCATAGCCACCACCACCACCTCCAGCTCTTCCTCCTCCAACCCGAGACACAGAGTAGGAGCTGAAACTTGATCTCCCACCACCACCGCCACCGCCAACAATCGCAGAACCAGAGGTGAAGCCTCTGCTTCCTCCTCCAGTGGATGCTCGATAGGATATACGACTCATGATGACTTTGTTCAGAGGGAGAAAGGAAAAGGTGAAGAAAGGTTTTGACTACAAGCGGAGCTGCAGGAAAAGAGCGGAGAATGAAGGCAGGACCCTTCTGATAAAGATGAGCGGGAAACCTCCCCTTTTATTTGTTTGGGAAATAACCTGGCACAGGTTCCAAGGCAATCTGATGTAGTCATATGTTTAATATGCCTTGCAGCAACTTGTTGGTGAGACACACCTCCTCCAGTCGACAACGTGGAGCTGGAGAGGTGGGGAAAGGCATTGTCTGCAAGTAACTGCAAACTATCAGTGCAAGCAAGTGAAAATTATCCCCCAGCCCCTTTTTAGCAAGGTATTTCATTAAGGGAGAGGAGGAGGGAAGGAAACGAGATATCAATACTCACAACTCTACATATTTTATTACTAGGATTTCCAAATCTTTTTTAAGGATAGGATAATATTCTTTTGCAAGACCCAATCTGTACAAAAGATGGCAGTATGAATTTGATGACTCCAGCAATAGTCATCTATGGTCTTGCATGACACTGGGCAATGGGAAGAAAGTGTATTTCAGGACCCCACTACATGTACTGGATTTACCTAAATATGTTGATAAAACTTCATAAAGTGAGACCATGGGTCATGAAGGTTCCTGCAGTAACACATGTATCAACCTTTTATGATGCCTGTGGAAAGCCTGATCTACCTCATTTGCAGCTTGATTTCCCACAATATCTCAATAATATGCTTTACCTTCAACAAGGTACTACATATCAATCTTTGCAATTCCAATGCCATTTGCTCCACAGCAATGTATGAGGTTGAACAAACATGTAATACCATCACAGTATTGAACATATTACTGTAAGTCCTGCCTATAAACAGTTCTCTGGGATCTTCCCTAGCACCAGTGCCTGAAAGCTGGAGATTCCAAGCACTATACGTTGCATTTTCTGTATATGCTCCATTGGCTTTACCACTGAGCTCATACTAACATAGGTTACTTGCAGGGGTGGCTCAACCCATTACACAAAGTAAGCATTTGCAGTATAGTTGATTTTGCCCAGGGGTGCTCTTGAGGCTCTTTTGGGGAAAAATAGACCTTGACATATGCGAGTTGTAGTTACTGGGATGTATAGTTCACCTACAATCAAAGAGCATTCTGAACTCCACCAATGATGGAATTGAACCAAATATGGCACACAGAACTCCTACGATGAACAGAAAATATATATCAGTGATTGGTTGGTTGGGGGGTGCCAAAATACTGTTTGCTTTCCGTTGAAAATTACTGGGGCCGCCTCTGGTTACTTGATTAATTTCATCACTAAGTAGAAGGCTGAATTAAGCTCCCATTTCTCTAAAGCAAATGTTCCATCCACCGTGTTGTCTTCTCTAACAGAAAACCACCGAGATTGGTTTTCTTGATAAGTCTCCCTTGGGTTCAGTGGGGTTCACTCCCTAGTAACTGTGCCAGGAATTGCAGTTTCAACATCCCTTATTGATTGGCTGCATCAGCAGACACTTATCGGTGGATTTTCTTAATGATCTTTGCATAAGATTTTGGAATGGTTTTCAAAAGTGGCAGTAGATGCATGCCTCCTAATTATCCTTGTGAAAAATTTTCTCTGAGTGCATGTTTATTAGGAAGGGTGGAATTAATAAGAGAGCCAAGGAAATTTAGCTTGCAATACTGCATGTTAGGTCTGCAAGAAACAAAAAAAAAATTCAGGCAGTTCAAACCACATCACTAAGATTGGATTGCCTACACACGTGCTTGCACTGAATTTGATGATTATGCCTTTCAATAAAATATCTGTATCTCCGTATTTTGACATAAAACTCAGGGAAGTTTCAGTTCAAGGGTGGAACAGATACCCTCATGATCCTTCCTTCACTGGATAATTAACTAGAAACTAGATTGACATCTATCATTAGTGCTACAAATGCAAATTTCCATCACTGAGCAGGGAGTTAGACTACATCATTTCTAAATTTCAAATTCTCAGTGTCTGTGATTTGATCATCTCTGCTTAATGTCAAACGAAAGTACTTTAAAACCCCTTTATCAATGGCTACTATGCAATCTTCAAATAAGTCATTTGGTACAACATTTGCTTTAAGAAAATATATTTGCAGTGAGCTGGATGAAGTGGTGAAAATTATTTGAACCAAAACTGTACTTTGAAGTTTTTGTCATTGTTTCATCAGTTTTGGAATTGGTCATGCTTTTATTTGTTATTACCTTTATTTTTAATGTTTATGTATGTGTATAGTCTATTTATGTCCCGGCATTGAATGTTTGCCGTTTATATGTTGTGCTCTGCCCTGAGTCCCCTTCGGGGTGAGAAGGGAGGAATATAAATGCTTCAAATAAATAAATAAATTTTATTTTAGATATTGTGGTACTAAAATCTTTTATTGGTTAACAGAGAAAACATGTTACATTTATAATAATAATAGTAGTAGTAGTAGTAGTAGTAATTCCAGCATCCCCTCCCTGGTATAGTGGAAGGCTTCTTTTCAAAAATATATTTCAGAATTCTTATATCTTCCCTTGCAACTTTGTCATATTGAGATGACTCCAGAGCCAACAGCTGGTAAATTTTAATGTAGGTGTCATTAAGTGCAACTTGTGGGCTGTGAGTAATCATTTCATAGGAATGTTTTCCCCAAATGCCTTCCATGTTGATTTTCTATTGCAGTTATACCTGAAGGAAAAACGGGGGTGGGGGAGAGACCCCATTGAACTGGATCCTTGAGTAAATCTATGGTTAGTTCAAGAGCTAGATTCCACATCATCCTATCAATCTTGACTTCCTCCCTTTTTGCCCATAAGATAAGTCCAAGAATATTACATGCTTGCTGGCTAAACAAGTCTCAACTTCATCACCATTTAGATGTGAAACCATCACACCATTCAGTTTCTATGTTCCTGAAGTGGAAGAGCTGGATGTAGCTGACTTAACAGCATCGGCCTGTTTCCCTTAAGCTAACCTCTTTGATTTCATTGCAGTTATGGAGGAGACAAGCAATGCAGTCTGATGACTAGGACTGACAGAAGAACCACCCTGTAAGAGTAGGAATTTGCATAGGCAGACCTGTATAATACAAGCCCAGAGATGGTATCTGATCTGAATGCCTGAAGGGCATTAGCATTGTCCCATTCTTGGAAGCCTTTTCCAAGACTAGGGTGGTTTCTTTTGGATGGTTTCCCCCCTGTTTTCTTTCTAGAGACTTGATAGAACCTGAACCGAAGGAACCAATTTCTTTTCTCACGGCAATCTGAAAAGTCTGATGTTTGCACAATTTGTTTCATATGCAGGCATTCCTGTCCCTATGCACTGCCAATAATGTGATTCATTCACACCCAAGGCTCTTAGAAGAAGATATCTTTGATTGTGTATTAGAAATATTTAGAATGAAACTTCAGCTGCATGGGCAAGCCTGAGCTGTAGCAAGGAGGTGCTGCAATCTCAGAAGAGCTTATTGGAGAGCTTGTGACTTCTGTGAGCATAAGCAATTTTTATCACTCTCCAATCATCCATTGGTCCCTTTGGAAAATGCCAATGCAAAAGCTGAAAAAGTGTTAGTGGAATTCAGATTTCACCAACTCATTGGATGCATCCATACTGTCCCATTATTTTTTTTGGAACATCTGGGAGGCATTGCTTTTCAATAATTTTTTTGCTCATATTAAAGTCCACATTATCTCCAATTAAAGACTGCAGAGTTTCATGAGCTTAGATTGATCAGGAGAAATAACACACCAGGACTGAGGAACCTGTGGCCTCCAGATGTTGCTGGACTACTCTTGTTATCTGCCTATGCCAGGTTAGTCAATGGTGAGAAATGATTCCAGTTTCAGTCCAGTAACATCTAAAAGACTGTATTCTTTCAGCCTGCAGAAATTGGGTTAATGCTTTGATTCACAATGAAACAGTTGCCCATTTTGATTGACTCAAAGTACAAAAGGTGAACTTCATACCAGAGCCCACTTTCAATTTCTTGGTGGCTCTGGAGTGTATGGAGCATTTCATGAGGGCCGATGCAGTCTAGGGCAATAAACATACGATTATCCTGAACTTCCTTATCCTTGCTTCCTTCATTTCTGCATTTAATGGGAAAGAATGTCCCATTTCTCTTTGATGTGCAAGAATACAAACATTTCTATACAATTTCTAGACGTTACTGGACTCTTTTTCAGAAAATGAATTTTTGCAAAAATGTTGTAACTTTTCTCTCCACAAAATATGATTTGGGCACAATATTTTGATGCAGGTAACTGTTTTCAATCAGCCAACCAGCCAGCCATCATCTCTCTGTCTTTCTATCTATCCTGCTTTTTCACTAAGAGTGCAAGTCAAGGGGGCCAAAATAGGACTCAATGTATTTTGAATAAAATGCACTGTCCCATGAGTGAGCATGATGGACAGAATCAACTATGGCAGAACTGTGTAGCCTTGATCCCTCATTTAGAGGCCATGTAGAGTCTGTGAAAGTCACTCTCACTTATCAGTCAGCATTCCTTGCAGTCAAGAAGGATCTGTTCCCCTATTGAGCAGGAAACAGCTGGCTAGTGATCCACTTTTCCTGCACCCTTTTATACCTCCTTTTTATGTGAGTGTATCGGTGATACCCAAACTTTGGTCCTTCAGGTGTTTTGGACTCCAGTTCCCAGGAGTTCCAGTCAACTGGGACAGTAGTCAGGAATTATGGGAGCTAAAACAGTTGAAGGACCACAGCTTGGGAAACATATAGTAAATATTAACAAATATTATTCAAATCTGTAGTAGTTCTTGCAAATGTAACAAATATCAAAGCTACTCCAACCTGGGTCTTTTTGTGTGTATGTGACAAAGACAGATAATAAATTCCTTAAATCTTAAAAGCAGGGAAAGAAACAAACATTAATTTTGTTTGAGTAAGTTCACTTTTATTGTTTCAACATGTAATTAATATTTTAGATTTTCATGGTATCAGGTTAAGTTTCAGTTCATACCTTGGTATGGATATATTCTTGTGGCTAAAAACTCATGCATACATGTTCATTGGCATTCCCGAGGACTCACACATATACACATTTTAATTACAGTACAAAATCCCAATAGTAGGCAATTGTTCAGACATGCACTTCTGACTTTTTTATGCAAATGGTCATTAAAATAGAAATGCTCTCACTAGGAATCTTTGTGACACTTTAGTTCAGGTTGGATATCAGGAGGGCCAAAATCAAATCTATAGGCAAAGAGCAGCTCTAAAAACCTATCTATTTTCTGACAGATAGGTATGACTTCTACTAATGCTCAGTGGTGTCATTCAGATGGTTCATAGCAGTTCATCATAAGTGGTAGTTAAAATTGTAAAAAGGCATAGAAGATGCAGAGGTTAAAAGGGGGTAGGTGAAGTGGAGGAAAAATAGAACAGAATGGATGAGGAGGCCAGATAGTAAAGAGTAATAAAGAAGTGGGTTTTCCAGAGCCATGGAGAGAGCTGCTTAGCATGGCACCGTTACTAATTCCCACAAAAGATGGGAGCATATATGTGGTTTTTTCCCTTGCTCATATTTTTTTGGGGGGAGGGGAAGGAAGTATTCTGTACATTTTAGCTTTTGATACTTTTTTGGCTAGTAGATGTTTTGGAGATAATTTTCACACCAGAACTACTTCCTGCCCCAATGCCTTTCCCACTCCCAGAACTGAAACTTCCTCCTCCAAAACCCAACCCCCCACCACTGCCACCACCATAACCAAAACCAAGTCCACTTCCAAGGCTGCCACCTCCTCCAAGATTGAAACCACTTCCAAGACCAAAACCACCTCCGCCGCCACCTCCTCCTCCAAGACCAAGACCAAGACCTCCAAGTCCTCCTCCAAGACCACCTCCACCTCCGCCGCCACCTCCACCACCGGTGCTCACAACAGCTGTGAAGAAAGCACAAGTAGCTACTTAGGTGCCCAGTAATCGAATCATTCTTGCATAATATACAAACAGAATGGCTATGGGAAGTGAAATTCTGTGGCTAGGAGAGTGGTCACAGGTCCTCCCTTACAGGTAGAAAACATTGCCAACCTGCTGGTAGAGCCTTCCCTAGTTACCACAATGAGTAACTGCATTTCCTTGCAGGGTGTGGGAATCTCTCGGATGAAAAGGTACCTGCCCTTTCTTGGGACAAAAAACAGATATCTGCTATTGTTGCCAATTGGTTCTGCTGGGAGTGCTGAATTCAGATTTTTGAAAGCTAGAACACAGATTTCCTTTTTTTCTGGAAGAAAGCTGCAAGTTCATCATATTGTTACTTCCAAAATATGTGTGTGTATGTTTGTGTGTGTTTGTGTGTGTGTGTGTGCTCACAGTCAGGTTTCTAAACAATAGATTGGTGTGCACCTGAGGCCACCTAATTAATATTAACTCCTGCACATGTTATTTTTTGTCACCAAGTCTACTTCATCTTGCAGTAGCATTTAGAACCCTTTCTTCACAAGGACATAAAATAGCATTTTTCATCTCTCTTGGTAGGATATTTCTGAAAGGTTTTATTTGTTTGCTTTCTTGAAAATGTCATGAAAAGCAGTTTTCAGTGCTCCCTCCTTTATGAATATCCTGACCTAGAAGTCACAATAGGGTGAATCTGCATTGTAGAATTAACACATTTGACACCCCTTGAACTGCTGTGATCCAATGCTATGAATCATGGAAGTTGTAGTCTTGCAAGGTCTTTAACCTTCTCTGCCAAAAAAATGCTGGTGTTTCATTGCAGTTAAAGCAGTGTCAAGCCACATTAATTCTACAGTGTAGATGCTACCTAAGTAAAACATTTCACATACTAATATGCTATATTGTTGGCTAGATAGCTAAAGTATAAACAAACAGGAAAGCAATCATATATTTTAGTTAAGGGGAACACCTTCCTATATTTAATGGAAATGACCTCAGTTTAGACACAGATGGGGATCAGATTGTAAAAAAAAAACCAAACAAACAAAAGCCAAAATAACTAGTCAAGGTACTTACAGATACTGACAGGATTAACTCCCTCTCCAAAGAGCCTGTTGAAGAAGAAGTGTAAAATAATTTTAAAAGACAGGATGTGATTTTTTCCCCATGAAGATTAGGATGATGGGAGTTGTAGTAGGGCAAAGCTGCGGAGGCAGTTTCAAATTAAGCTAGACAAGCAAGATGGGTATGCCAGGTACACTCAGGGTGGATTTACACTGCCATATAATTCAGTTTCAGAATGGAGGTTAACTACATCGAACTGGATTATGTGAGCCTGCCATATAATCCAGTTCAATGCAGTTAATCTGCATTCTGAAACTGCATTATATGGCAGTGTAGGGGCCTTAGCCCCATCAGCTATTGCCTCATATCATTTCTTACATGGCATTAAACCTGAACTTTGTACTTCTTGCCATCATCTTCTTGATTCACAGCCCTTTTGCAGCCCAGTACTCTAACTTTCCACTGTGTATTATTCTCATATTTGAAATTCATTGATGAATGGATGCAGTCAAATGAAAGGAACACTATCTCTGGCACAGTGTTATAGAGCTGACGGGCCTATTCTTCTCTTGAACTGGCCCATATTTAGCAGATAATACACTGATGTAGTACTGTGAGAGATTAAAGATTCTTGCTAGAAGTTTGACAGTAATTGATAGTTAAACCCTAGGGAAGATCCTAGTACATAAAACACCCTCTTAAATAAAATAGCCATATAGCTAAACAAAATAAAGCCCCCCATCTGCTAGGACCCTGAACCAATTGACATCCTGAAAGAAACTGATGACCTTGTCACATGGACGTCAGAGTTCCTTCACTTTGTGTGTGTGGGGGGGGGGGCAGCACCCCACGCCCTGCATCGTCCAGCAGTGGCATATGCTGACTCCACCCTCCTTCACCTATGGAATTGCGCTGCCATTGTTGAATGGGAGCCGGCGGGCTTCGTGGGTGACCTGAGCTAAACCGGCACATGCAGCTGATTTAGCCCCATGTGAAGAAGTCTTTGGTAAGGAGTCCGGTTTATCCGATTGGCTTATGATCTTCTTTTGGTCTTTTAAACAACTTTACAGATGTAGAGTAATAAATAAGTCTTGATTTTTAGCTCATTTCCCAATTCAGAAAATTTCATTGGATAGACTACACTAGTTCTAATTTCTTAGATATGTGTATTGAATGACAGGAATGTTTGTATCATAAATCTGTGCTTTTAGCATAAAATAAGCATATTTTCATGTAGTTAAAGACATGAAAATATATTGAGCAAATATCAACTGGTATATGGTAGATGTTATGTATGTCAAACATACATGATCATGGGAAACAGGTGCCATTTTTTGAAATCAGAAGGTCAAATATGCCCAGAAACAGGTCTAACATTTCTTTCATTTTGGTGCCATTTCCTAGACTGGTTGATTAAAATCAACCATTCCACCCCTCTACTCCGTTTAAAAAACATTTCCCACAAAATCTAAAAGGTTTTTGTTGTAGTAGTAGTTGTTGTTGTTTTGTGCTAATAAATTTTCCCCAAAAATGTGAAATGCAAAACAATCTCATTGAGGTTGACTGATTTCTCAATAAGTTTTCTTGATCAGACACATTTTCTCTTTAAAGGTGAGAAACCTTGGAAGTATTTTTTGCTTCTCTATCATGGTTCCGATGATCCTTACCTGCTCTCTTCGCCTTCCAGCAGCTTTCGGTACGTGGCAATCTCAATATCCAGAGCCAGCTTGACATTCATGAGGTCTTGGTACTCCCTCAACAGCCGGGCCATTTCTTCCTTAGCTTTCTGGAGAGCCTCCTCCAACTCAATGAGCTTGGCTCTGGCATCTTTGAGAGCCAACTCACCTCGATCCTCAGCATCTGCAATGGCTGTCTGCAGATTGGCACACTTGAAAAGAGAGCAGACATGTTTAGATTATTGTTCCCTTTTTGTCATTCAGCTGTTTCCAGGCATTATAATGGTTGTTGTCATCATGCATTTACTTATGTTTTTACTCCTTGAAGAATTTAGACTGTAGTCTTATCTAGCAGGTAGTAAACAAAGTCAGATTTCCTCTGAGTGAAAATACATATGGGGTCTCATTTTTCATGTAGTTTCTGTTCTACAGTTTAAGGAATTAGAGACAAGAGTTCTCATCCAAAAAGCTCTAGTACCTTACCAAGCTACAAATCCCAAGATTCCATAAGAAGCAACTATGGTATTCAAAGTACAGTCATAGTACGCTGACTATGTGGGGTGAAAAGGCCCTTTGTTTGTTTGTTTTACTTTGTTCCAATGTGTGGCTTGTAGAAATTGACCTAATGTTTCTTTCATTTGAATGTACATACATATATGCATATAGTGAAACACATATTCCCATATTAGAATGTGGTATCATTATGTTCTTCTCTGCTGAGAAACAATACAGCAGTAAGAGCACCCCTCAATGAGTACAAGACATTTTATTTATTTCAGTAACTTATTTCCAGCCAAAACTGCAAATTCTCATCTGCTGCTGCTAATCTAGAAAACTATGGTAATGGTGTCAAGTCAAGATGATATCTTACCACAAGAACTGCGAGATATAGATCCCCTGTGTTGTTATGTTATACAGTGTGCTGAGAAATAACATGATGCCCTTTATAGATATTCATACCTGGTTCCTGGCATTTTCAATTTCTGCCCGTAGCCTCTGAATCAGCCTACTGAGCTCTGAAATTTCTCCTTTAGTGTTTCGTAGGTCATCACCATGTCTCCCTGCAGTTGCTTGGAGTTCCTCAAACTACAAAAGCAAAATGGGGGTAAGCACAGGGAAGGAAAAGGAAGACACAGATGAACATTGTCGGTTAGTAAATAATTCTTTCAGAAATCTTCTGCCGGATTATGACTGTGCTGTCTTAAACTGGAGAATGGATATAAATCTTTGCTTATTTGGTTTTGGCATGTATGTTCCATTCCTCACTGCATGAAAATGCAAGGTCTTCCACATAATTCTGCACAAGATAAGGATTCAAATGTAAGACAAAAGGCTTCACAAAGAAAACGTTAGCTGCACACCAAGCATATGGAGAGAAAAAAAGTGTATTGTCGAAAAAAATATGTGCACACATATTGATCTCTGTATATCCTGGTCTTGATCTTCAGAGAATATTAGACAGAGCAGGTGCTCTACCACTGAGATAAGGTCTGCTCTTAAAATTATTTCAACATTCCTCTTCCTCTCCAAATTACCTTGCAAGATTGTTATATATTTTTACTGAAGAGGTAGGCATATATAATATTTTAATTTTTTAAAAAAAAGATATTATATGTTATAATTGAAAAATTATTTTAAAAAAACAATTAAAAACTATAGAAAAGTGAAAGTGTGGGAAGGTAGGGTTACAAGGATACGCAGAAGTACAACCATTGGGATCAGCTAATTGTTGCTATTGCATGGATGAAGAAAGATGCAATAACAGGAGTGCTCATGCTGGTATGTGGCTGCTATTGGTAACTGTGCACTGCCATGGAATAGCAGTATTGTGTGACGAAGTCCTCAGTATTAGCAAGTGCAGGATATATGGAATGGATTTGCCCACCTTGGTTTGGTACCAGGCCTCTGCTTCTGCACGACTCCTGTTGGCGATGTCTTCATATTGTGCTTTCACTTCAGAGACGATGCCATTTAGGTCCAAATCCCTGTTGTTATCCATAGAGAGGATGACAGCGGTATCAGACATCTGTGCCTGCAATTGAGCCAACTCCTGGAAAGTACAGAAATTAAGAATCTGGATGAAGGGACAAACCTCAGATGTGCATGTAATTATACATTCAGTATTGGGATCGGACAGAGAGATAATCTTTTTCTTTTTTTCTTTGCTGGCTGGCTTGCTTGCTTATTTGTAACATTGCACAGAGTTGTATAAAACATTTATGTTTGTAGAGACCAGCATTACATGGGCAAGAGGGAGTTTAAAAATTCAAAATTTGGCATTTGGTCAGAATCAGCATATCTTTTTTTATATAATGATTTTGAAACTTGAGTTTAAAATATGAAATGAACATTTTGCTGATTATATCTTTAGAATTTTAAAAGCAATCTCTGGCCCCCACATCACTCCATGGTGAAGAAACCTATGACCAGATGTCCAGCATGCCCATTCATTCTGAGATCCAGATGCTAAAGCTGCATGGATGGACAACTTCAAGGCCCTGCTCTACTCTCCCATCTCAGGATTTTGAATTTTTAAATCAGGGCTCAGCTTAGCCAATCCATCAAATAGATGAATGCCCTCTTTAAAAGGTATAGGGCCTCATTTACCAAAGGCCTTTCAAGCCTTTGTTCTTAAGCATTATTCATGAACAAACATGTGAGATTAGGATGGAAGGCTTGAAGAAATAATTGTGATTCATTAGCTCCATGTAGGTATTTTGCAATCGTTCATCTACAGTAGAGATTGACATAGAATGGCCTACAGGCTACATATGTGTCAAAACCTTTTTTTAACAGTCCTAGGTTAATCCCAAAGCTCCCCAAATTTGGGCATATGTGAGAAACAACTGAAAATATCCTACTGTCACTCTGGATACCAGGGACAGTGTAGCATAAAACCTCCTGAGCCTACCATTCTCACTGTTGTAACTGAAAAAAGACTTACACATTTCTAATTGTAATTTCCAGTCATTTTTTAACTGATTCAGGGTATGGCCCAACATATATCTATGAGGAAAATATTGGCCTGTGTGCCAGCTGAAGTTACCCAGCCCTGTTGCTTTGATACTATAGCTATGTGCTTCTTCATCTTAGGTCTGCACATGATTTTAATTGTAGGGTTGCATTTTCTGACTACTAGTCAAAGTGTATAATATAAGCAGACATAATACCGCTTCATAGAGGGCCCTCAGGAAATTGAGCTCATCAGTTAGGGAATCCACTTTGGCTTCCAATTCTACTTTGTTCATGTATGCAGCATCCACGTCCTAAAACGATAGGGAGAAATCAAATTCAGCTAGATTTCACTGGATGAAAAGCCCACACTTTGTTACATATAGGGTTACATTAAAAAGACAACATGCCTAAAAACCATTTCTTGGGCTTTTTTCATTGCTTCCTTCCTTTAAAAATGGTCTGTGTGGGATGAATAAATACTACTTCTTTGCAGCCAGAGGGATAAAGTCATATACTTGTGTCCCCACAATGGTTGCTGTGGCTGCCAGTTTTCTGGGAGGTCCAAATGGAGGACCTAGTGAAGGGCACAAGAAATGGGCAATAAGCCACTGGTAAACTGAGGCCACGAGGGACAAAAGATTATCCAGAAGCAATGAAGAGTTATCCTGAAGTACAGTCTCTCTTTACTTGGCTGTGACCATCGGCCACCCATGTGACTGCATCAAGCAGCACCTGAGAATATCACAAGGCCATCACATTCAACTGGTATTGCCACAGTTTCTTAGGCTTGCACATAGGAGACCAGTGGCAGTTTTAGCCCTCCAATTCTCCAGCTGATCCCACTCATACATAAAAAATACAGAACTCATGAGATGGGCTCTTTCAATATTCTGAGGAGAAACTATCCATGGTTAGTATCCCACTATTGCCCTAAATCATATGCCTACAAGTGTGCACTTCAAAACTGATACAGAATGGTTTCTGGGGAGATGTTTATCATGGCATTGTTTTGACTTGTTTGCTAATTTCTATAAGAGTTCCAGGTACTGATACCCTCTCCACTTAACCTTCCTTTGTTTTTCCACTGCTTTGTTTGCTTCTTTCCCATACTAAACAAAACGTGTTAAGGGGGAAAAAAAGAACAGGTTCAAAGAGCCTTTGGACTGTTTGCAAAGTCCTTAGCTGTTTTCTGTCTCACTACGATATACGTCAAATCAGGCCCGTAGCCAGGATTTCGGGTTTTTTTTTTGGGGGGGGGGCTATTTTTTTCAGGGGGGGTGGGGGGGGCTGAGTTTCGGGGGGGCTGAGTCTGAGTGAAAGAAGGTCTAGCCTAGCAAACCTTTTGTATCATTACCCCAATACCCCCATGCATATGGGATATATTGAGTATGGTGATCAGATCATGATATGAATAAACATAACAGTTTAAATAATGCACCAGTAAGGCCTGTTCGCGAACCACCATGAGAATTTTGGGGGGTGGGGGGCTGAAGCCCCTCAAGCCCCCCCCCCCCCGGCTACATGCCATGCCTGCGTCAAATGATGAGCCAAAACTGTGACTTCTGTTTCTGGCTAAAAGATGTGGAATAATTCTTGGAGGCAAGAAATACATCTATCCAGAGTCACTCCTGATACAGAATCTTGAGGACATCCCAATTAATTCAGCAACGCCACCTCACCTTCTTGAGCATAACAAACTCATTTTCAGCAGAGGTACGCCGATTGATTTCCTCTTCGTATCTATGATAGCAAAAATTAAACATTAGTTTCCCATCATTCTCTGGGCATAAAGAAAGAAATAGGTCCTTAGTAGACATGGTTTGAGGGAACTTAAACGATTAGCAATAGCATAAGTCACAGTTTTGAAAAGAAAATTTTCTCTAGTGGTTTCCTAAAGTCAGGAACACGCTCTCCTGGATTGCTTATCTAGTACTTAATTTACAGATTTTAAACACTGGGATGCCACTTTTTATTGCTTGTCCCAGGCTTTTAATGTTTAACCAGATTCTGCTGCTGGTTTCTATACTGCTGCTTTATTATACATGGATGTGTTTTTGAAATGGTTGTCTTTATACTGTGTTCTTCTGTTGTAGGGTGCCTTCAAGTTATTTCAGACTTATAACAACCCACAGGTGAACCTATCATGGGGTTTTCTAAGCAAGATGTGTTCATAGAAGGCTTGCCTTTACCTTCTTACTAGGTTGAAAGAGGGTGGTTTGCCCACACCCTTTCAATCCAAAAGGTTTCCATGGACAAGTGGGGATTTGAGCACTGGTCTCCAGAGTCATAGTCCTAGGCTCAAAGCACAACACTATCCTGGTTCTCATAACTAGAGCATGCATTCTGAAACAAACAATTGAACATACACAGTCAAATACAGGGAGTAGTTTTGCTAGTCTGAAGTCAGAATATCAAAGAAATATATGTTTTCAAAGAACTGACTATGGACTCCTACAATGACAGTGGATGAGGGCAGTGTGAGAGCTCCTATGTACGACAGGTTTTTTAATGCCTTATTAATTAACCAAGGGTGGTTACATTCTGAATGGTACACAAGTACTTAAAATAATACATGTGGAAGGCATGAAATAAAAAAAACAGCTTAAGAAAGAACAGTGTATTTTGCACATCAGCAGGATATGATAGATCCATCCATCTTAGTCACAATAAGGCAGTTTCACTCATTTGTGATGGATATACCTCTCATTGTGGCTTTCTCCAGCATTCAATTTTTATTTTGAAATCGTCATTTTAAAAAAAAACATGGCTATGAATACATTTATAAATTTTGATAAATTCTTCAAAAATGAACTGAAACAGATCTGAGACTTATCTATACCAGCCAAATAAAGCACTTTCAAAGGAGGAGAAGGTATGCAAACCTAGATCATGCATGACTAGAAACACAGCCAGATTTCAACCCAGGTTTTTAAGAGTTGAAAACATTCAAACCCTTCAGCCTGAGCAGACAAATCTAGCCATTTTAGTTTGTTCTGCATTCAGATTGTTGTTTTAAAAATCAGCAACAATGAATCCCTCGGGATTATAAAACAAACAAAACTATATCAAAACCCAATGAAATTATCTCAGATGTTCCTAGGAGAAAAACAATAATTTGCTTGCAAAGTAAATTCCTCCCCCAGATGACTCAAGTAAGTGAGGCAATGCAGAAGCTCCAGGAGAAGTCAATAAAATCTACATGTCTCATTAGCCAATCTGACCTAAAGGAAAACTCTCACAATTAATTCCACCTTTTATTGACAGGTCTCATTGTCCCACTGTGGTGTGGTCTGAGATAGCAGTCCAGGTTATGTCATACAGTCTAGGGGAGTGTCCCTTAGCAAACTGGCTTCCTACCAGTTGCACACCTCACTACCTGTTGTTTAACTCCTAACAATCTGTTGGAAACCATGACGAGCCTGAAAAGGGAGGTTTAAATGTTTCAAATATATAAGATAAATAATGACACTTCACTGTCTGAGCCCACTCTCTCACAATAAGGTATCATTATGTGTTTGGAAATGCAGCGGAATAAATAATTATGAAATAGGAAGAAGAACATAGAATGACTAGACGATGCTGTTGGACAATGATTTTAACATGACGACACTGGTGATAATATGTTTTAATGGTTTTAATGGTTTATATGGTTTTTATAATATTAGATTGAATGTTTTTAACTGTACTTTATGAATGTATGGCATCAAATTCTGCCAATCTCTGTAAGCCACCTTGAGTCGCCATAAGGCTGAAAAAGGCGGGCTACAAATGCCATAAATAAATAAATACATCTTGTTTATTTGAAACCTTTAGATTTCCCTTTTAAATTTTCAATAGGAGTATTCATAATAACATAGATAATTTCAAAAGACGATCCCACCCCCCTTCTTTCTTTCTCTCTCACACAAACCTCATCCAACAATCTCAATCCTGCTGGTTTAAATCCAAGATGGTTGTTACTTTTATCATGCACCAACTTTCTATGCAAAAACCTGTTTTTAGACTCAGTATCTTAAGACCCAATGGCAAATTGCCATAATGTCTCAGTGGCAACAGGTACTTTCATAGTCCAAACATTAAGGGAACCATCCTAGGTCCTTGAGGGGGGTTATTGTTCAGCACCTTGGAACCCATCCCTCAATTTTAAGTTCAAACTAAAACCTCTAAATTCATCACCACAATGACATCAAACTCCACCATAACTTTGTCTCCTTCAGATAAAGAAGGCATGGCCACCTCATCTACTGTTACAAATTCTACTCCCATATATCATACCATTAACAAAGACACACAATTATATTTTGTAGCATGCCATACATGTTCAGGCACACAATTAAAACTATCCAAAGAGAAAGTGCACAACAAAAAGACTGCTGGAGCCAAGCAGATTACTATAAAAAGGCCTATTAGTGGCTCAGTTCAGTTGAGATATTAGCCATTAAAACCCCACAGGGCAGAAAGTGGCTCACTATCTAGGCTCAAATATGTAACTGGGTCTAATGTGGTGGGTTTTCCTCCCTTGCTCTCAGAACAAGTCAGAGCTAAACAAATGAGGCTTCAATCAGGTGGGCAAGATGAAGAGCCATGCCCTTGCATTTATTATTAATAAAGTATTGCTTATTTAGTTAGATTTTAACTACCATAGTGTGAAATTTAATGTTTTTTCCCCCCTGAGGTACCTTAACATTTTTGCAGCTTTTTTTCAGGTGCCCTTTTTATTTTAGATAGAAAACTCGCCTACTAGGAAATCACCTAAACCTACTGTACTATTGCTTCACATTACAGAAATACTTTCCCCAATCAGACAGACTCAAGCTTCTTCACCACCAGCATTTGGTCATGAATGCAGATGGGAGTTGTGATTGAGTCACCATGGCATAATGATCTGAACATTGAACTATGACTCTGGAGATCAGGGTCTGATTCCCTGCTTGGCCATGGAAACCCTCTGGGTGCCCTTGGGCAAATCAAATACTTTCAGCCCAGGCATCCCCATGATAGGTCCTAGTCAGAAACTACTTGAAGTCATGTAGCAGCAGCAACAACAACAACATCAACAACAATACTGGAGGTGGGGGTATGAAGTCAGAAAAGACTAACACAATGGAAAACCTCAACAGAAAAAGAAAGCAGGCGCATATGATAAGAGATGAGTAATGGGAACTTGGGTTTCTCAAATATATTTTAGACTTCAGTGAATTTCCAGGATTTCTTTTCACTGCAAATATAAAGCAGGCCAGACCCAGGAACTATGGAACCTCAACCCCTAGAATCTTATACTATTTGCCACACCTAGCTTTTTAGACATGAAGTTCAACAACACCAGAACTCCCCTGCTGAGAACCACTGATCAAGACATTTGTTTGTGGAGACATGAGCAGTCTGAGTAGAAGGGAGTGGGGAACACATGCCGTTTTCAATAGCTTACTAAGACTGAACCTATTCCCACATTCTGATGTTCTAGCCAATATCAACAAAAGGCACTGAGATGGTTGGCAAATGCTTGAACCATTGGTTGCTTTTGAGTATACGTACATTGTAATTTTATGCTTAGGTTATCCTCAGGAAACAGTTTGCAACTTTTGACAAACTCTGTTTGAGGATCTGTAAGAATCACAGCAGCTGCTGTTTGGAATCCAGTGAAGCAGTTGTTTATATATTTGATCATGGGACTCCAGGGCAATTTAATAGAGTTCTTGACCAAACTTGATATGCCATTGCATCAATTATTGGGTGATGTCTGGGAGAGTCTTTGATAACAACAGGAACTAGCAAGTCATTCCTTCATCAAGGACATCAGTGGACTTTCTTTTTATGTCATGAACAGTCCACACCCCATCACATTTTGGAATGCCCCAAGCGAAATCCCATCTTTGATCTTTATGTTGAGCCACTGCACTGGTATTGCTTAAAGAGAACCAATGTGGTTTTATGGTTAATACTGTATGTTGCACTGTAATTTGAGAGACACAAGTTCAGGCTTCTCCTAATGCTTTCTCAGCTTTACCTTCGTCAAAAAGATAGCTATCAGACCTGAAAGTGGGGTGGGGGAGTCATGTATGTCACGCTGACTACAAATGAGGGTAAATGGGTTATATATGTAAATAATCCAAATATACACAATAAGGAAATGAAGACAATCATTTTAGGGAGCAAGCAGCCTCCGCTGGCTCTCTTTAATAGCTGTCTGAAACCTTACAAAATGGACCCCACAGAGGGTTTCCTTTTGCAAAGAAGGTGGTCCATGCCTGTGTTAATTTTTTATTTTTATTTCCAGAGAGTGACTTGATGTTAAACTTCTTCCCAAATAGTTTTTGACTCTTTGGAAATAGCAAATGTGTATCCATCTGGCCTGTGGTGAGGGAGGTTGCCAAACTGACTACTCCTGCAGATCTCCGAGAGAAGAACCACACATTGAGGCAATTTATGCAGATCATAATTTACTAGGTCCTGGATTGAGTCACTTTACTTTTTGTTCCCAGGATGCAATCAGAACATGCCAGAACATTCCCTAAATTGGTCATCAAAAAATCACTGAAAATTTCAATTAGCATCACTTTCATCACATTAAAAATTAATGGTTGTATAATTTAGTCATGAGTCATTAGTCAGTTCCCACTGTTTCCTAGTATTATTATTATTAATAATAATAATGACTATAAAATGCTTTCTCTGCATTCCCCTGAAATTAGTCAACATGGCATTGACCTATCTTGTTTTTTTGTGCCATGTTGAGGCAACTGGGGATGTGATGAGAGAGTGATTTGTTATGTAGTTAGAGATATTAAAAATATTTTGGTAAAACTACATGTCAGTAGCAGTAGAACCCCATGTTTTAGGTCCATAAAAAAAGAAGAAATCTGTTCTATTTATTCTTCAGAAAATGTAAGTATTATTCCACCAGTTAATAGAACAAATATAATGCTATACTGGTAAATACAAAAAAACCCTAGTAATCCTTTCCTAAACTCCACATTATGTGCAGGCACATGCCAAGCACATTTGATTTGTGAGAAGAGTATTCAAATGGACCCATTCACGTTTGTCCTATTGTATGCAACTTCTTAGGCACCATGTTGCCAACACTTCCATGTTGGAACTCATTAAGTCAGGCCATATTGTAGCCATTTGCCATTCTTCCCATCTTTTCAATTGCTCTCTATGTTCCCAATTCTTATACTAAAATCATATGGCACCTATATTAAAATCACTTCACTGGCTGCTAATTCGTTTCTGGGCAAAGTACAAAGTATTAGTTATGTTTAAAGTCCTATGTAGGTTGGATCCAGGTGACCAACAGGATTATTTATTTGTATCCTGCTCTCTCTCTCTCTCTCTCTCTCTCTCTCTCGCTCGCTCGCTCTGACACCCAAAGCAGCTAACAATTAACATTGCAAAATGTAATTAAAAATATTGCTTCCTTCTGTCTTTTTTTTTTCGTGTCAGGAGTGACTTGAGAAACTGCAAGTCGCTTCTGGTGTGAGAGAATTGGCCATCTGCAAAGATGTTGCCAAGGAGATGCCTGATTGTTTTGATGTTTTACTATCCTTATGGGAGGCTTCTCTCATGTCCCCGCATGGGGAACTGGAGCTGACAGAGGGAGCTCATCCGTGCTCTCCCTGGATTCGAACCTACGACCTGTCGGTCTTCAGTCCTGCCAGCACAAGGGGTTAACCCATTGTGCCACTGGGGGCTGTCTAATTAGACAGGAGGAGGCTTTCCTCCTGTCTAATCTACCCTGTATAATGGGGTCCTCTGTGACAACCAAGACTAAACTGGTGATAGTCAACCTCAGGACCTTTTCTTCAGCTGCCCTTAAACTGTGGCGTGACTTGATGGAAGAGATGGGTCTTCATTGCTATTTTCAATTCAGACAGCATATTCAGCTGATAAGCTTATCCTGATTATTAATAAATTATTGTTTTCTAAATTATAAAGTTTACATTATGTATTGGTAGTTTTAAATATTTCTTAAAACAACCAGTACATAATGTAAACTTTATAATGTAAACTTTATAGATTGATAGATTTAATATACAATTGTTCCCTCCCTCAATCCATGTGGAAAAGCAGTGAAATAACAACAAACAAACAAACAATAACACTCTGGCTCCCACCTGTCAGACATTCACTTACTTTGTCTTGAAGTCTTCAACAATATCCTGCATGTTCCTAAGTTCCCCATCCAGTCGCCCTTTCTCGTTGATCAAGCCACTGAGCTGTTTCCTTAGGTTATTGATGTAGGCTTCAAAGAGCGGATCAAGATTGCCCTTGTTACCACCAGATTTAAAACCTTGATCCTGCAAAAGAGTCCACTTGGTCTCCAGAACTTTGTTCTGCTGTTCCAGGAATCGAACCTAAAAGACAAAGATACATGAATCTGTCATCTACTGACCACCCATCATTCAACACAACATTGACGCCATCAACAATCAAGAGGAGATCTATTCCAGCTATGATAGCGGAGATTCTTTAACTATATAAATGCCAGGATTTAAACCTGGATGCTTCTGCATATAAAGCATGTACTGTACTACTGTGGTGAATTCACTGCAGAAGAAAGATTTTAAAAGACATTAATTATGAAAATATTGATAACTTATAATACAATATTTTGTCTGAGTATTAATAAATAAATGCCACAGGTTCAGCAGAACTTACTCCCAATAAAGTGTAGCCTTAGGGCATATGTGGGTTTAGATTTGATGTTATTATAATATCAACTGTGAAATTTGAAAGAAAACTGAAATAGGCCACAAGGTGTGAATCAGATTCATTTTCTTCAAAATCCAGGCTGAACAAAATCCAGTAGCTCAGCTTCAATATCCAACAATAATTAATAAATAATAAATATGCAACCTCAGTACAGCAGGAAGGTAAGGTTACAAGTTTGTGTGGAAGTCTGATCACAGGACTGGCATAATTGAACCAGTAAAGAACTGTGAGATATCAAAAGTGTACAATGTGATATGTTTGCATCATTTACACTGGCACAATTGTGCGGCATAGCAGGTTGGTGCTAGATTGTCTCTAATCCAAAATTCAAACAACAACACCATGTTGTCAGTTATTTCTTGGAACATGAGTGCTCCTAGGTTTCTTTTACCTAGGTTTTATTAAAAGTATGCTGGCCATTTTGTATTACAATCCTAGATCTATATAGAGCAAGTTAGTTGCAGATTTGAATGGTCAGTCATGGAATACAATAGTTAGTCATCTCAACTGTTACATTATTTGCAGTTAGTTTTGTTTCGTGGGCGTTAGGCTTTGGACATTTTGTTTTTGTTTTTAACTATCTATCCATTCATCAGACTTGATGATTCCTCTTAATAACAAAAATCAAGTACAGGCAATAGTGGGAACAGGATCTGAAAAAGGAAATTATTGTCCATTTTTAATCTAATCTTAAGATCCACCATATGAATAAAAGTCCAAACTCTTTTTTTCCTTCCCAAATTAAATTTTTGGTGAAAATATGTGGTCAAGCAAACCTAGTAAGATACAATTTACTCACTGTGATGTTTCATTTCTCTCCCCCCCCCCCTTCAACCATCCCCACCACTCCCAGCCACAGTTGCCAGCACTGTAAATTTGAAAGAAGTTATAAGATGTTAAAGTAGTTCTGTAATGATAGTTTAAAATATTATAAGTCTGAAACTCCATCACTGAAATCCTTTTTACAATCATTATTTTAACGAAGTTTATATTTTTCTTTTTCAAGCTGCAGTTCTGATCCATTAGTTTCTCTGTTTGTTTCAGTACGTATTGAATAAGGTCCCTTCCACACCGCCATATAACCCAGAATATCAAGGCAGATAATCCACAATATCTGCTTTAAACTGGTTTATCTGAGTCCACACTGCCATATAATCCAGTGGATTATATGTGGATTTTATACAGCTGTGTTGAAGGGGCCTAAGACAAGAATTTATGTTTGTTCTTATCTTTTCAGGAAATAGATGAAAAAAAATCTCACCTTATCAATGAAAGAAGCAAATTTGTTGTTGAGAGTTTTAATTTGTTCCTTCTCTTCTTTCCGGACCTCTTGGATGGCTGGATCAATTTCTAAATTGAGCGGGGCTAGGAGACTTTGGTTAATGGTCACTTCTTGGATGGTGCCAGCCCCAGGTATAACACCACCACCAAAGCCTAGAGAACTTCTAGCTGCACCAAGCCCCCCACCAAAGCCATATCCACCACCTCCTCCTCCTCCTCCACCACCACCACTACCAAAACCAAAGCCACTACCTCCAGCTAATGCACCGAAACCAAATGCACTGCCAGATCCGCTACCAAAACCAAATCCTCCACCTCCACCTAATCCACTGCGTAGGTTACTACTTCTACTAATTGATATTCTTTTAGCACCACCAAGACTATAAAGACTCCTGCTGCCAAAGCCACCACCGCCACCACTGCCACCACCACCAATCGTAATCCTTCCTAACCCTCCTCCACCACCAAGACCACCTCCACCAGCTCGGGCAAGAGAAAGTGAGCTGAAACCAGATCTATTTGCACTCGGGATAATGGCGGAGGCTGTGCTGAAACCTTTGCCAGCACTGCCTCCTCCACTGCCTGCCCTGATACTGTAGGACTGCCGGCTCATCTTGGAGGATGGCCTCTGAGAAAGAAACAGCCAGAGGAGGGGAACTAAAGAACAGAGCTCTGGTGGGAGAACTCCTGGATCTGGCTGCTTTTATCCTTCAAAAGACCTGGGTTTGGCTGCTTTGAGAGTCAGGAGATCAACATTGTGCATTCATGTTTTTGACATACCTGGAAGGCAGGTGTCTAATGGGACTTGTTTAATGCTAATTGAATATAGCACACACCTATGGAGTGATATGCTTTTGACTGGCCTGGGGCCTTAAATAACCTAAAACATGATTGGTTACTAGCCAGATGGCAGTGCTTTCATCCATAGAAAGTTGGAGAGGAGAGTAAAATCTGTGCAATGCAGCCTATCCAAGCAAATGGAAATGTTGCATTTGAGCAACCAGAAGGCAAAGGACAATGTTTGGTGATAATACATATGTACATTTGGGCACTGGTGCTTCACAACATCTTATCTTATATGTACAGTTCAACAACTACCAAGTCTTATTGACATTCTATATAACATAGCAACATAAGACCCTGCTTTCTGTCAAAGGATGCCCTTATTCCACCTAACTCAGTAGATACTGATTGCCAGTGGATGTCCAAAACTTTAGGCAGATTTCTCTTTCCCTAGACCCACTGGAGATGCTTAGGACTGAACATGGGGCCTCTTGCATGCAAAGGAGGACCACCGAGCTCCTGGAAAAGAAAGAGAAGAGTTAAAATGAACACAGAGACTATCTGATGGAAACTGAGGAGGAGCACTACTTGCTTATTTACTCAGTTCACTTTCATTTGTTAAAATATTTCAATGGCTCTAATACACTACAACTAAAAGAAACGCAAGTACCAGAAAACAACATCTGCCACCAGAAGAAAGTTTGTTGTCCTGGTTGCAGGATTCTGTGGATTATCTAAAGGGAAAGCAACCAGTAAGCATTTGGAGTGAAGCATGAACTTGAGAAAATAATATATATTGCCAGTTTTAAAAGGGAGCTACACATATCCATAGCCAATCAATTTATCAGGATAGTTTAATCGAACTACTATGTTCTCAGGGACAAGTAGTAGAATGGAGTGTAGTAGAATGGAATACAAAAAAAGAGGGGATGCCTGGTTGACTGGATGGCCAGAACTCTGAAATAGCAGCCTACACTCTACACCAGGCATGGGAAAACTTCGGCCCTCCAGGTGTTTTGGATTTCAATTCCCACAGTTCCTAACAGCCGGTAAGCTATTTAATTTAATTGCAGGTCAGCATACATGTTAAACAGAAGGGATGAGAAAATGGAACCAATTGGAAACCATTTGATTTCTCTGTATTCTGTCTTAACAGTGGCCTCTTGTTCTGAGAACTGGTTATGCTTATATTATTTACAGACAAACCTCTATCCATTTCAATCAACTTTCCTTTGGAAGCATCATGCACAACCATGAACTGAAAAGCATATGAAAACAAATTTTCAGTAGACTGAAGATGGCATAGATGAGTATTTTGATGCATAAGGGACTCTCCACACCAACACAGTTGGTGGGGAGAGCGATTTGCCCCACCCCCTGAAGGGAGAGATTAGGAGGTTCCTTTAGAACCTCCTGGAAGAGGGGCGGGGGCTGGCTTATCACGTGAGCCAGCCTCCTTACCTCAGTCTTGTTAAACTTTTCGGAGGACAAGACGTGTATCGAGCTGCTCCAGGATGCTTTCAAGGAAGAACAAGGGGGGCCCTAAGGGGAAGGGTCCCGCAGAGAGGACGGGTTACAAGCGCCCTTTGCGGCAGGATGGGTCGTCGTCGGACGAAGATGGGGTGTCTATGGAAGATTTGGAGGCCCTTCTTCAGCGTGTTAACCAAATAGAACAAAATAGGGGGGTTGGTTTGGGTAGGGCTGGTGCAGGCTCTACTCGCAGGGCAAGTAAGAAACAGTTGTTCAAGTCTCTCTTGTCCCGGGTTTCTATTATAGAGTCGACCTCAGCTGCGGGGGCAGAAAGGGCAGTCCGGCTTCCTGAACAACTGGCGGTTTCAGGGGCTGCGGAAAGCTCTGCTGTGGTGTCTTCGGCTGTGCAAACCATCACCAGCCCCGAGGCTCGGCCGTCGGCGCAGGCTTCGTCTGACTCCTCGGCGGCTGCTGTGGCCGGACCCAGTCAGCCCGCGGCATTGGCCTCCGCGGCCAGTGCTGTGGCCGGGTCCACTCAGTCGGTGGGGTCGTCGGCTGCTGTCGTCGATGTAGCAGAGAGTGTGCAGTTGGTGACAGCTGTCCCAGCAGGTACTTCCACCACACTCACATCATCGAACACTCCCACCTCACTCACTTGGCCCTGGGACCAGGGGCGGGCTCAACCGGTGGTGGGGGTTCAGTCTTTCTCTGCAGTTGGGGTTCAGTCTACGGGTGGGTCTGAATCCAGTACAGGAGTTAAGAAGGATGATTCTGCTGCTCAGTTGGCCAAACCAGTTTCTGTTACATTGGAATCGGCCCGAACTGGGGAAGCAAACAAATTTTGGGGTACAGCAAAATGGCCACCACAGGCGACGCCTACGGTTAGTCTTTCAGGTTTAGGTTCCCATTTGGCGACTAAAACCATGGAGAAGATTTTGAGGAATGAATACGTCGATATCTTTTCTCTATACTTTAGGGATATGGATAAGAAAGAGAAGGAGGAATTAGATGAGGACAGTAAGGAGAAAATGAAGAAGCGCAAGGTTGAGCAGAATTGGGAGAACTGGCTCCCTTGTTTCACAATGTATGCGAACTTGCTTTCTGATGCTGCCCCAGAAAGGGATACGGCTTTGTGGCAGTATCAGAATATCATTAATAAGGCTTATGTCAGCGGCCCTCCTAACGCTTGGCTAGAATCATTGTCATGTCTTCTCACTCAACATGACCATATACAGTTGTCCCTCCAAGTTGTGGTTTTGACTTTTGTGGATTTGATTATTCACAGGATTTTTAAAAATCCTCTACTAATCTCTAGGGCCTTCAGTGTGACTCCACAGTCAATTTTCTCCAGTCATGTTGAAGAAACTAAAAATTTCTAGAGAGAACACTTCTATAGTCATCTCTAGGACCTCCAATGCAATTCTAAGGTCAATTTTCAGCAAGAGTTGACCATGGAGTAGTGCGAGAAGATTCCTACAGAGGTAAAGACAATGCAAATTCTTTATTTGCAGTTGTTCACTTTTTGGGAGGCCTTGTGCTCCCAACTCCAGGGAATGTGGATTGCTTACAGTAGTAATGGGAGTGAAAACAAAGTGTTAAGCCAAAGACTGTATTGCTATATTCTAATCGGCAGACACACAATGGCTGGAATCCAGTTAGGGAGACAGTTGCATGTAAGTATTTTTTTTATGGAAGTGCTTACAGGGGTTGGGATTTACCTCCTCCGTCCATACCATCCAAAGGTCACCCTCCTATAAAGCTCCAAAGTTGTTTTTCATGGACATTCAATACTCCATGGCAAACAAGCAGGATCAAAGAAACCATCTCCTAGTGGCCAATCACAAATTGATGACATCAGTGCTGGGATTTGTCTGTTTCCTCTGGGGGTTTCAGTGCTGCCATAATCATTGTACAACTGGCTATGAGGAGGTCACCAGCTACTTCTTCAAGACTCTCTGGAGTTCTGTGGCCATGTGCCATGATGAGAAAGGTCAGCACAGGTAAAGGTGACCAACCACTGGAGCTGAACAAGGTTCAACCTGATTGAAGTCTCTTGCTACAGTTCAGGATCAGAACCACTCTGATGAGTTCAGGATCAGTCTGATGCAGCAATGCTGTGGACTGGCCCCAGATTTAAGTGGTTCTGTAGATGGCACCTCCTTTCCTGTTGCTGTTTCACCAATAGGCAAATACTTTATTATTCAGACAGACTTTTAGCAACTGATTGCCTGATTCACCCTTAGATTTTAAAGGGAGTACAATAAACTTTTAAATATAATGCTATTTACTTATTATTGGTATGGCATTTACAACCATTTAATTTGTGTTTTAGACATATAATTGCTTTAATTTACATTTTGATACATATAATTTATTGTGTTTTATTGGGATCATTTAAATTATATTGCAATCTATCTTACATTCTAGCCCTGGAATTAAGGTGGGATAGGATTATTTTCCATCAGTGCACATTTCTATTCACCAATAGAGGAGAGTTTATGAGAATAGCTGGGGAGCTGCCTCTGCTTGTCTTTCGCAACTGCCTTTTGAGGGATTGTCTCAGAAAATGATGGGATTTGGCATTCTTAACAAAAAGTTGTGCCATTTTGGGCACAAATTAGGAATCATTTTTATGACAATTTCGGAGATTTCCAAGGTAGCATGGTCACTCTAGAAATGTAACTTTTCTGAGCTCTGTTTTTAGTCTGTTACTCAGGATTTGTTACTAAATCATAAATGTGACAGAACCAATGGTGCATCTACATTGTAAAATTAATGCAATTTGGCACCACTTTAACTGCCATGGCTCAAAGCTATGGAATCCTATGAATTGTAACACTAGCACTCTTTGACAGATAAGGTTAAAGTTCTTGTAAAATTACATCTCCCAAGTTTCCACAGCATTGAGCCATGGCAGTTAAAATGGTGTCAAATTGCATTAATTCTACAGTGTATATGCTGTCAAAGTTACACATTTCTTAGGATGTTTGCATGTCCTCATTATTTGGTATGCCATAAAACTATTTATACATAGCATGTTCCTGTCTTTAGTTGATCACAAATAATGCACTTATTAAAGATATGGTCATGTCTGCATTCAGAGCAAAATTTGTATATTTTAAACTTGCATATACAAAATAATCACTTCGAATTCTTCTGCTTTTTAATGCTATATTTTGAGTGGTTTCCCCCACATTTTAGGTTTCCCATAATTTGAGGGGGGGGGGATTGTAAAAAAAATAACATTTTGCACAAAAATGATGTTTGCAAAAAAGTGTGTAATGTACAAAGTAAATAGTTTTCTGTGCCAAATCATACCCTTGCACAAAGAACTTTTTGCAAAAATAAAAATTAAAGTCTGCTAATGTGAAAAATCTCATGACAGTTGATTATTTTCTGAACAGAATGCACTGAGATACACTTTCAAGTTAACAATGAGAAAA